TTTCAAAAATAATATTGTTACTTTACTTATTACTTTCTGGCAACAGTAATTAGTTACACTACTAGTTACATTACTTTTTCTTCATGCCCCATAGAAGTTGTAACTGTGTATCTTCCACATAAAATTCTTCTAGAATTTTACTAACAACATATTTCTGCCTCATCATTTGACCAAAATCCACTTTGGATCGCAGTCAGAAGTTATTACAAACACTCAATGATTGATTGTGACATTCAAGTAGAAGTGTTGTATTAATCTCATTGTATGCAAAAAGTAATATTATTACAGTAACTAAGTTACTAGTAACTAGTTACTGCCCAACACTGGATATGACAGACGAGAGTATGGATGGACACATCTGATGTACAAAGTGACTGAGTAGATCCTATGAAAAAGAGATATTAATGCCAATATGTCTTTCTATGTGCTTATCTTACACAATTTATAGAAAATGTTGATTTTTTTCCCATATATTGCCATGAATTCATGTCTTATGATGTATTCTGCAGCACAGCTGAAGCAAAAATATAATTATTAGCTTATAGGTCAGCACTGTTTTTATATTGCTCAAACAATAGGGTTTGTTCTTATAGTCTTAAAACCTTTAGCATTTAATTTCTGGCAATTTATTCACCCCACAGCTCACAAATGTACAGACATTAAATTTTTTATTTTGTGGACACATTCTGGTTTCTATTTTATTCTTTGCACTTTTGAAGATTTTTAAAATTTTAGAACTTTAAAAATGTAAAAGTTTAAAAACCTCCCATTGGCCCATTGACATTTTTAGAATGTTTAACAAAAAAAATTCACTAACAGTGATGCAGTTCCAAACCCATACAACATTCTTTATTTTGTGGAATGCACAAAAGGTGAATTTCTGAAGAATATGTTAGCTGCTCTTTTTCATTTAATGAAAAAGTGAATGAGAACTGGTTATGTCCAGCTCAGAAAAGTGAGTGAGTCATATGGGCCATTTTTACAGTACTTTTAGGGTGTTTTTTGGCATCTTTTAACTTGACAACCTGGGCCCCTTTCACTTATGGAACAGCCAAGATACTTTTCAAAACTTCACATTCAACGTTCAAAGGAAAAAAGACAGTCTATACAGCTTTGATACAACAAGAGGACTAGCAAATGTGACAGACTTGTTGGTGAACTGTTGCTTTAACAATTTTAGCACACACACAAAACATTCTTTCTAAAGTCAACAACAATTCTGCATGCTCAGGCACATTATACTGCACTTTTAAGCGAAAAAACGTCAAATCGCAATTTCTGCATCCTTAGTGTCATAATTGTAACAGTAATTACATTTAAAACACTCTCCTCATCTACCATTGCTTTTGCAAACAGATAGTCCTGCCCCAAACACCATGGACTCAGCCAATGTTGTTATATCCAGCCCAGTTGGGACGTTTTTTTTCTGCAAGTGAAACAGAAATCACACACTTTAACATTTAACCTTGCAGAACCAAGAATAAAGGAACATGTCTCAGAAAGAGAAAATAATATTAAAGGCAGAGTAAGTGATTTTTCAAAAACACTTTAGAAATCGCTGGCTGGGTTGCATACGTATATGTGGGGCGGAGCTATCAAAATAGGGGCAAGACCCTTTTGGGGTAGGGGCGTGTTTGTTTTGGTGATTTCAAATATCAACATTGGCTACCAGAAATCACTTACTCTGCCTTTAAAATCAATAAATAAAGAAAAAAGACACATGATCTATCTGACCTTTTTTGAGGATGGATCAAGGCAGAATGTTGGCCTCACTATAGCAACAGTGTCAAATGCCCCATAGTAACCTCTCCTTTCCCTCCCTCCCTCCTCTCTCTTGCTTGCTCACTCGCTCGCCGCATGTGGATGTGTAATTGCTTGCAGGCAGATGAACTTTAGCCTACTGAGGAGGCGGTGTATGTGTGTGTGTGTGTGTGTGTGTTGTTTTGTCTGGTCACATGGGGCCCCGGCTGCCTTTCCGTTACAAGGCCCCGGTGCATACTGGGAAAAGCTGACTGCTGAACGACAGTTAACCCTAACCCTTGAAATGAGCACAGGATCACAGCCGTATTTGCACAGATTTATATATATATATATATACAGTATATATAGATGTTGCTCAATTGTGAGCTGAAGTCATAATTATGAGATAAACAATCAAAATGATGAGTTAAAAAGTCATAATTACATAAAGAACACAGGACACAGAAACTTCTTGTCAGCGCTGCTCCAATACGTCAACTTTTCGATAACATAGTTTGTGACTGAAAAGCCACAAGACATTTCTCAGTAGTAAGGTGGTGGTAGCGTCACTTTTTTTTGACACTATTGAGAGCCACTGCTTGGCTGCATTACCACCTTGTGTGTGCGTTAAGTCATATAATTCAATAATTCAATGCCCTGTTATAAATTTTTCATATGTAATTTCCATTATTATCTCAGTTTTTTTACTTTTTATTTAATAATTATGACTTAGTATCTATTCACTTCATCTTTTTTTATCGTATAATTATGTCTTTTTGTCAAAATTATGAATATTTTATTACCATTAGCATGATTTTTTTTCTTATATTTAATGGAAATGGACATCTGTACTATATTATATTAGTAGTAGTAATTTTCTTTAGAAGTAAGTTTCTTTAAATTCACATTTAATTATTTAATTATTCATTGAATAATACAGAAAAAGAGAGAGAAAAAGAGTGTGGGGGTCGACTAAGTACAAGTTAAGTGGAGCGTGTTCAGATGTGCTCTTGTCACGAAAGCACTCCCATGATGCATTGCCTTGGTCAGAGTGTAGGCGGTCAGTGCAGCTGTGCGCTGGAGAGAGCAAAGCAGCTCTGAGAAGAGGGGCACACGACCCATTCAGAGCCCACAAGGACACACTCTGAGATGGCACAAGTTAAAATACAA